GATCAACAGTGTCATGGTCAATTCCTACCTGCTGTGGGCACAGGGATATTATGTAACTCTTACAGCCCCTGACCTGAAAAAGCACTGCTCCTTACTTATCTCTAGGGAAGCAGAGAAGTTGTGGGTTAAGCATTCACAGAAAAAGAAAATTCAAATAAAAAATTATAAACTCTGATAGCTCAAACTGAACATCTTTTTTTCTTCCCAGTTAAGAAAGGGGACTGTTTTACCCCAGGGATACAAAACACTTGGTGCATACCAGAGCAATAGTTAACCATAGATTTGCAAAAACAGAAAGGAAACATATGGCATGGCTACTGCCACAGTACTCACATTCCAAGCCCTGACAATAAAAGGCTTTGCTTTCCTGGCAAAAGGGTTTAAATACCTTCATATAAGTGATACATGGCTTGGGCAATCTTCCAGATGCAAAGGATTACAGCTTCCACACTACTTGGCAACACTCTCTCTCCTCTGACCCTTTGTTAGAGGGGTTTACAAGACAGATAGTCCAACACACTACACGCAAAATCTGTTGGATTAAATCAAAACAGTAATTTAAAAGATTTCTGCTAACAAGCTTTAAAAGGTTTCCACTAACCAGCTGGATGTGAATTGAGACTGATCATGTTAACTCGTCTGCCAGGACACTCAAAGGGGAACTGCTAGAAAAAGAGAGCTATTGAATGCCTAGAACCTAAATTTTCTTCCACTGGCTTAAAAGGGAGCATGTGTCTTGGTTTTCATGTCCTGTTCTCTCCCTGCCAGACCTAAGACTCTGAAAAAGTTTGATCAGTGTGGGAATCTGGTGCAAGAAAATTCCAATTTGGAAAAAGTTAAACTGCCTGCATCTGCAGCCCTCCTGGGTAACCCTAGTCAAGAGATGCCAGCAAGAGCTCTGGGAGTGAGGAATAAGAGTGAGTTCCTATCCAAATTGCATGACCTCCCTGCTAGCCCAGAGAGTATCACATAACTCATCAGAAGTAAAACCTCAGAGCCCGTAAGCAGCATGACTGGTTATCAGCAATATTCATATGTTACACCACCGTTTCAGTTATACGCTCACAATAGAATCATGGTCAACTACTGCATTCAAAGAAACCATAACCTCACTGTTAATCCTGCTGCAGTCCAGCCCTGCTAACTTCACTCACCTGTTGCTTGGTAAAAACTGTTGCGAGAAGCAGGAGGAATGTTACACACAGTTGCCTTTGGATACTGGAAGTCTGTCTGAAATCTAGGAACAATCTACAGCAGGAAATGAAATTCAGCAGTGGAATCTCGTGACCTACTGTCTCCAAAACCAGTGCTGAAATGGGGTTAGCTAACAGATTTATATCAGCCCTTGCAGAACAGGAAGAGATTAATGCTATGCATTATGCTCTTTTCTTATGATAAATATGATCGGTTTATACTATTGCTATAAAATCTTATGCCATAGCTGAGCTCATTTAATACAGATATAGCTCTGCCCTACACATTTACACCACTGCCAGCAAACTGACAGTGCTGTTTCTGCAACTGTACTGAAAATACCCCTCTGCACTGAGCAGCAGCTAACAACAGTTCGCAATGTGCCTACTGCCAATTGCTAACAGTTAGCAATTGCTTCTTCAGCAAAACAACACAAGCCAGGAGGTAATTCCAACAGAAGTAAAATGGTGTAAAAATTAGTAGTAATAGCTTTTTACTCTTTTACTCTGCAACCCTCCACATTTGTTTATAGAAAAGTCCTATCACCTCTGTTAAGTGCATTTTTTAGACTCTGAGGTAGAATGCTTTCCTGAAGCTGAATTAAAATTAAGGAACAATGAACTTTCAGATTTAAAAAAAAAACCAAAAACAAAAGCATTTCAAAATCTACTCTACACAGAAGAGGGGACCAAAATTTCTTTGCCAACACAGTAAAGAAAAAATCTAAGCACACAGCTGAAGTGTCTTTCTCCCTCTACTTTTTTTTTTAAAGAACACATATTTCAAAAGTAAAGCTTGTCTCAGTGGATGCATTTTAAAATTCACTGCAGTGCAGCACTCCATGCACCTATAAAACAACCCTGTCCCACAGAGTGAGATCTTGAAACTTTGCACAGGCGTTGTAGAGTCACATACGGCACCGCTTCAGAGAACTGTCTGTCAGGAGTGATGTAAATAAAGGGCTGAGCTTCATCCATGAAATGGAGAGGACTGGTTGCAGCATAATAGGAAAATAAGAGAGTGAAATAGGTGAAGTCTCCTAAATACCAATCAGCAAATACTTTTTCACCTTGCAGAGATGCAGCAAAGCTTGGAATATCAGGTTGGAAGGGACCTCAAGGACCATCTGTTCCAACCTTTCTAGGCACAAGCACCATCTAGATAAGATGCCCCAGAACCCTGTCTAGCTGAATCTTAAAAGTGTCCAGCACTGCAGAATCTACCACTTCCCTGGGGAAATTATTCCAATGGCTGATTGATCTCTAGATGGTGTCTTTATTTACAAGTCTCATGAAATCTCCATCTCCAGGAAGGAAGAAGAGGTTAGTTTCACTCAGATCCCTCACGGAACACTGCCAGCATGAYCCCTGAAGTACGCCACCCCACTGCTTTTCAAACACAAGATGTGGCATTTTGTTTTAGTATCTCTGTTGAGAAAATGCCGCATTAAACTTTTGCACTAACCATCCATAGAAAGAAACAAAACTGCACTCAATTAATTAGAAATGACCCCAGTGGGGTCATAGGAAAAACACACAGGGCACTTACAGCATCTTGAAATGACTCCAGAGACAGGTTACAAAAGCCTACCATATGATCATCATTCTCAGAGTCACATTGCAGAGAGATGATAAAGCAACCACATGGAAGATCTCATTCAATTTCACTTTAGCACAATTCGTTAAAAAGAAGTTGATACTTAATGCTTCCTGCCACACAAAGCTGTTTCAATTGCAAAATTGCTCCACTAAGGAAAATATTAGGTACTGTCTTTTTTTATTCTGGCTTTATGTTCTGGGCTTTCGCTTGGACAATGTTCAACAAGGAACAAAATCTGCACAGATGTCAAATGATGGGAGTAGGTTATGAGACATGGAAACTGTGATATTTTACCAAAAAAAAAATCCCCACAAAAATTGTCAAAGAGCTTATGGAAAATATAACATTGTAATTGAAGCTATGAGGTGATTATCCAATTTCCCACCTGGAAAAATTATGAGGCCAATGATATATTAGTTTGACCTAAAGCAAAAGCTGACTGAGAGGAAATAAAACAACCTAACGTAATCCTGTAACTTGGTTTTCCAAAACTTTATTGAAATACTGAAATAATTATCAGAAAAAAAACCCCCAAACCCTACGAAATTAATCATAAGAACATTGGAACAGCAGGAATAATAGCAGACTACACTTTGATGCTGTTTGCAAGATCTGAGGAAGATGTCTGCAGTACCTTTTCTAAAGAAATACTAGCTTCTCTTAGAAGACACACTGAGTAGTGAGAAAACAGCAGAATGTCAGCTGCTTCCAGAAACTGCTCTTTCTATGCAGCACTCAGCAAAGGTGCTTCCAAGTCTGCTATTGACCCAGGCTCAAGGTAAAATATCAGGCGAAACAGCACATCATCTTCAGCTTTTTTCCTCACTGTTTTGTCAAGTAAAATGAYGAAGATAATTGGTGTTCCAGTTAATTGGTGTGTGTAAAATATTCAAAACGAAGCCAAAGGAAAAAAAAATACCACAACAATCTTTTAAAAGAACATGTATCAAGGTTTGTTTCTTTTTCAGTACAAAGAAATGAAAACCCTCCCACCGACTTCAGCAAGAGCTGGGCCAGGTCTTGAAAATCTTCACATAAAACAGAGAAGGTGTACATTAGCACAGGCATTTCTGTTTTATCTCCTGCCTTTTCCCTCCTAATAAATTGCACACTTTCAGCATATAATGTCTGAAAATGAAGTTTGTAACAAAAAGACAACTCACTGAGTCTTGCAACTATGTAGTCAAAACTGAACACTAAGAGAATTAACATGCATAAGAAATTACGTTTTTTTTATTATGCACTGAGTTAATTTAAGAGGTTTTTAAGAATTTAAACCTATCATAAAACATGACAAATAATGGTAAAATTTCATTGTTTCAGTGAAACAAATTAATCCTGAACTTCATTATAGTTGTGTTTCTGTTTTTAATATTGCTCTTACGGCTTGCAATGCAAAGCAAAGCTCCAGCAGAGAGACTAACAACTGTGAAAAGGAGAAACAACCAGGCAGAATGTTGTCACAATCACACAGCTCCTATTTTGCACAATTATTTGCACATTTCTCACACTCAAAAAGCTTTCATGGCCATCAGTTTGCAAAAAACATGATTCAGTGTTTGCATTATAAMACCTTTCTCTCTAAATGAACTCCTGCAAATTAAAACATCCAAGTATTTCTAACTGAATGAAAAGAGACTAAAACTTAAAATGCTCACCTGACTCCATGTAGATGAAATTAAAAGCACTCTTGACCTCTCTGATCTGGTGATGTGCCCTGGCCACAACCCAAACTTGCACCAGGACATGAGCAAAGAACAAGCCTTGTATCTTGGTAACAAGGAGAAAGTCTAGAAGCGCAGGTCAAGAAATAACCAGGACTGCTGAGTGCAGTGTGGCACCACTTAAACAAGAGGTACTCTTTGTATTTCAGCATCTTTTGCTACCTTATGACCTTCCAATCAATCTTCCTCTGCCTCTGAATACTTCAAACAAACTGTCTTCCTTTTTCATTTTAGTGCACTACAAATAACAGGTTTGTGTCTTCTACAGCAATACTGGTGTAATCTACACACATCCAATCCACAAAAGAAAAAAAAAATATCATTAAAGAGCCTGAAAGAAATTAAAGTCCAGCATAACCAAAAACAATTTCCAAATGTCTCAGCAGTATGGACCAGGCCATCCCCAATATACCTACATCTAATCTGTAATTAAATTGGCTTAAGGTTAAGAGGTTTGTTTGCAGTGAGATTAGCCTTTCTTACCTTTTGCCACATCTTGATGAAGAAGAGCTCTTCAGAAAAATTGAAGAAAACATTGGTGTCATAGGCGTCATCACCAATGTTGGAGATGAAAATGTTAAGTGAGATGTTCCTCACTGCTCCCAGGGCCAGGTAGGCAGTTCTGTCATCAACACTGTAGGCAGAAAGAGTTATACTGGTTTAACTCTCATCAACGTTCACATCTGATCCTGCTTTCTTCCTGCTACAGAAGTGTGAAAACTCAACTGTTTAAAAGCTCAGCAGTCAGTGGTTCAGGAATGTACTATACTGCCTTGTGCAGGGGGCCATACTATGAATGAACTGCTCCTGACTCAGGGTTCTGACACTGTCTTTCATGACTTCAGGGAAACTCCATGATCCTCATGTGAAACTATTTCACATGACCTACTTTTTGTGATAATAAATCAGTTGAAAACTGTAAAGTAATTGGATGGGGAAAATGTAACAACTGCAAGATATTCTGCTGGCATTCAAATACACAAGATATTCCAATTGGTCTTTCAATAATTCAGACTTATTCTAGCAACTGTGAAACATATTCTTAGAGCTATGCTGTGGGTAGAAAAAAATCAAAATTCAGGCTCAAATAAAATCCAGAAACTGCTGAAAATGAAAAAAATGTGTGGAAATTGCAACAAATTAACACTGAATGTGACCAATCTTTCTTTAGATATTTTTGCAGGACCTAACATGGTGGAGTCACTTTCTGTAAGTGAAATACAAAAGGTAACAGCTAAATATAATGAATCAACACACTGTTGCAATATAACATCACAGCTCAAGTACAAACAAAGATGCACACATAGAGATTAATACAGATACTGATGCACACACATTTATTATTTGGTATTTAATCCTTCTTGACTGTTTAGAAAATGAGCTAACAAGTAGGAATAAAGGATAAAGATAAATCACACAAAAATATAGTATCAGCGCACAGATCTGCAGGTCTTGGAATTTAACACTAAAAGATAATATGAAATATACAAGGAATTCATTAAAAATTGCAGAAATAGCCAAATATTGAATTCAGTAGTTATCATAACTGGACTCTAAGACCATTCACATATCCTGAAGAAAAAGAGACTGTCACAGAGAAAACACTGAATAGCTGGTCAGAAAAAGATCAAAACTCCAGCCACACAGCAGGGAGATGCTCGCAATTATTTCCTCTAGAGTACAACCAGCCCAAAAGTGAGAAGGAACCACTTTTCATTCACCCAATTTCCCTAAAGGAATGGCTGTGCCAGTGACATATACATTATAAACAGGGAAACACATTTGTACACACATACATACAGACATGTCATGTTATGAATGTTCACATGGAAAGAAAAAAAAATTTAAATTCAGAAGTACTAAGTACTTCCAGGTTTCATTCACATGACCCAGACTGGCAGGTAACAATTCTAAGCAATTGTAAAAATCAGACACCGGATTTCTGCCATAGTTTTGAATTCACTGACAATGGTAGTCCATATCGAATGTAAATATAAATATTTAATGTTTACTCCTTAAGTGACTAAGAAAAGGAAAGCAAATTCCAAGATAAAACAAATACCTTTTTTTGCATGCTTTAATGCTCCAATTGTTAATGTCCACACCATATCATTACATTATGGTCAGTGAGGGAACAAAGACCATCTGAGAAAGACAAACTGAAAAGATCTACAGTCTTTCACCACCCCTCAAGATGCTGCTTTTTATCAACATGAGTCAGTGGAGGCATAATCTGCATTCCAAATGGTGCACAGGGACATTTTCTCTATTTAGTATTTAATTTCTCAATTCACCAGGGTGATTTTTTTTTAAAGTGAGAAGACACTCAGCATTTCCTTTCAGCCTATGCAGACCATACATAGGGCAAGGATGTGAGGCATGGTGCAGACCATACATAACACAGGGTCACACTCACCCTATTATCCAGGTCACTGATTTTCCCTTTTGTACTAGGAACCTTTCTTTCCTTACAGCAAGTCAGCACCTACATGGATAAATCATCACTACTTGCTCAATGGACAGTGGAAGTTACAACTGTGGTCAATTAGACTGCAAATGGGTAAAAAYGTTTCAAACAACTAAAGTCCAATATGTCCTCCAACTCCATCACATGAAATTAACGAACTCTACCTTTTACTTTTAAATCAGTAAAAGTGTAAATCAACCAACACTGGTGCCGTGACAGATCCAAACAGATTTCTACCTTCACYGACCAGCACTGCAATTGGTCTTGGGAGTTACTAGGTATTTGGGTTGATTTTGTGCCAATCCTATATTCCTATACTCCATCAGCTTGAATGCCTAAAAGGTGCCTGCACCTTTAAATGTGACCCGGAAGAAGGGGCAGGGGCAGCTGGGAGGGCAGTGCGGGCACTTAAAAGCCAGGGCTGCCACACTGCCACAGGACCTCAGCTCAGTGCTGCAGAAGTCCTGCTCGCTGTGTGCAGGGGAGTTATGTTGTTGCCGTTTAGCTAGCTTGGGTTTGTTAGCTTGGGCAAACTGCTTTCCTTGGACTGCCAACCCCTCTGCGGCTCCTGTGATTTTTCTTCTGGAGCAATTTGGTGGCTGGTGGGGACAAGTAGCGCTGCTTTATCTCATCTCACACTCCAGAAGAAGCTAAGCAGGCGACAGACAAGCACATCCTCTGTTTCATCCACTGTGAGGAGAAGACTGACTTCAGGTTTTGCCACTGTTGCCTGAGCATCCACATGGACTTTTCTTTTGTTTCTTTTTTACCCAGGGACAGGAACCGCACCATCTTTCTCCGTACCATGTGGCCAAACTGTTGTGGGGGGAGGGAGGGGCGTGTGTTCCTGTACTTTTAAATATCCAACAGTTACTAATTTTCAATCTGTGTACTGTGGGCACCTTGTTTTGTTAATAAACTATTTTTCTCTTCACTTTTGCCCAAACATCTATTTTATATTGGTGGGGAAAATTACCAGTTTTTTTCACTTAAAATGAAACATTTACTCTGTAACATTTTTTCTCTGAAAACATTGTCTCAAACCAAGACACTAGGATACTTAAATATTAATTTAGTCTCCATAAATTCTTTACATCAACCCTGAATACCTTTCTCCTGTTGTTTTTGTTTTGTTTTTTTATTTCAGGTTTTAGCGTTCGCTGAACTTCAGGAGTTTTGCAAATACTAAAACCTCAATGGCCATTGAAAAGCTGAAATCCTCAGTTGATCATTGAAAAGCTGAAACCCTCAGTTCAGTTGAGCTGAAACCCTCAGTTGGGAACTAATTTGATATCTCTGTGCAAAACTGAGAGGTAGTAGCCCCATAAATAAATAAATAAATAAAACCTAACTAAATATTTTAAACAACCTCACAGGGAGCAAAGCTATTGGATTTTACACTTGGGTACATTGTCTGCTCATCACATGTGTGTTTAAAAGAATTGCATTGGAATTCTCTCTGGAAGGTTCACAGCCAATTCAGACTAGGGACTGGGCCAAATGTTCAAGATACCATAGCCTATTCTGCAATAACTGAACTTCTGCCTTTCCCTTCTCATGCTGAAGTCTATGCTAGCAAAGGCATGAAGAGACATCACGCAATTGATGACAAGAGCCTATCTGAAGTACATTAAGCCAGCTATGGCAAACTAGCACTAACGCTATCAGATAATTTCATTCATGATCTTCGTTCTCAAGCAGAGACTTTGCAGTGTGGCCTGAGCAGTACATAACATGAGGTGAAAGGAAAAACATAATTGAGAATTCAAGGAGTGGTCAACCGAGGTTCTGTGTCAGCAGAGCACAGTAGTAGCATAACAACATTGTTCTTCATGAAGACTGAATAGCAATGTTACAGTGTTTTCATATAGGAAGGATCTAAATGTCCCATGTGAAGAAAAGTGCTTCCTGCGCTGATCCCAGCACCAAGACCATGAAACTGCTTGTGCCAGCATCCTTTTGGCACAGGGATGCTGTTTCTAGTACTTAAAATTCCATATCTGTTACAATTCAGGAATATGGCATCATATCTTTTCCATCTTTCCTACACTTTAATGTGAAAAATGAATGCATTTGAGTAGCAAATAAGAGGTGGAGAGGTGGGGGAAGACACACATCACACCAGTCTTTATTATGGTATAGAAACAACAGTGATTTCTAATTACAGCTAGTTACCATATATACAAAGCTTCTCTGGAAGTTGTCCTGTTTTACCCATAAATTCCCCTTAAGTACAAAACAGATACAACTCCCAGCCATGCATGCCTTCAAACTTCTAAATAAAATTGACATAACAAGGCATAACATTCACATAAAAATATCCCTACAGCAATCTAGTGCCCTTTTATTATTATCAAATACTTCAACTACACCCAGATGTTCACAAACTTTTATAAATAGAACTGAAGAATCAATGGGGAAAGAGCCACCTCTGTTTTTACAGAGTGTTTACTCCAGGGAGCAGCTTTTGGCTTGAATCAAGCTGCTCTGGTTAATGAAACTGTCACATAAAAGCAAGATGAGGTACAACACGTACAGAAGCTCTAATCTAATCTTTCACCCTTGCAGACACACATACAAACTAATACCTTTACAAGCTATTTTTGAAATCAATCTTACTGTGCCTCTGAGACAAACTTATGCCTCCATGTGTGTGAAAGACAGCATCCTAAGGCTGCAATGCAAACAAAAACTAATGGCAGAAAGAAATTAAAAAGATAAATGTAGGCCACATACATGAAGCTGCACACATCAGCCTGACATGAAAGAAAAAAGCCCTCTATATTTTTCCTACTTGTTAAAATATTTGAAAAGCTCTGTTAAAGTACGTGATTGTTGACCACAGATTTGAAACTTGAAGGTGAATCAATAGCACTTCATACTATACTGTTTCTAGAAATCAGATAATTAATGAAGTCATCATGCAAACCTATGTGTTTACCATAAAAATTATGCCTTCAGAAATAGATTTCCTGCTATTCTCTGCTATTAGACAGCTTTGATATCTTGTCCTATTCCTGGGTTGCTGGGCTGCAATAACCTCAGTTTAAAAACTATACTCAGTTAAGCACTGATGAGAGAAAAAGAACAGTGCCCTATCCAGCAATCAGTTTTGGAGGTCTAGAAAATGCAATTAAACAGAGAAGATAATTAGAACCAGTACAGCT